AGGCTAATGCACCTTGTTGTGCATGTTCTGAGCCATCACAAGCAGGTCCAGGGAGGTGATCCTTCTCCGCTATGTGGTGCTGGTCAGACCGTAGTTGGAGTACTGCATCCAGTTCTGGGCACCGCACTTCAAGAGGGATGTGGCTAACCTTGAGAGGGTTCACAGGAGGGCCACTTCTATGGTCAGGGGGCAGCAGGCCAGGCCCTACGAGGATAGACTAAAGGGCCTGAATCTATTCAGCCTCCTCAAGAGAAGACTGAGAGGGGATCTGGTGGCCATCTATAAACTCACCAGGGGGAACCAGAGGGAAATAGGTGAGGCTCTGTTCCCCCGGGCACCACCTGGGATAACAAGGAATAACAGCTACAAATTGATTGAAAGCAGGTTCAGGCTTGATATTAGTAGGCATTACTTTATGGTTAGGGCTGCCAGGCTCTGGAATGAGCTCCCAAGGGAGGTGGTGCTCTCCCCTAACTTGGGGGTCTTAAAGAGGAGGCTGGATAGATATCTGGCTGGGGTCAGACTTGATGATCTGTTCAGGTCCCTTCTGACCCTAGAAACTATGAAACTACCCTAGAAACTATGAAACATGTCATCATGACTGAAAAAATTCTTTTCCAGTCTGTTTTTCCAGTCTGAAAGCCTGACTTCAGTCTAAAGAATACAATGCTGTGTAATCTGTAATCAAATACTAACCAGCTATGCTAAAAATAGAAGCTAGTAAATGTGATTAATAATGGTAATACCTACCTGTTATAAATCAGATTATATTTTTCATCAGTAAATCTCAAAATACGTTACAAAAGCAGGCAAGCACAACTATCCCCATTTTACAGAAAAGAAAATCAGTAATTACGTAGTCCTGAGCTCTTGTAAAACAGAATTTGCAACAAGTGATTAATCTACTCTGTCTTTCTGCCTTACTTCAGACTAACATGGGGCTACCACCATAGGAAAAATAGGTTTGGTTGCAGGTAAGAAGCAATGGTCATGCTTGAAGTACCTGTTCAACTGGGCCCAAATGGCTTTCTTCTATTGAAATGCTCTACGGGTGATTATTATGCAAAATATGAAGGATGAGAACCTTTCCTGGATAAGGTTTCAAGAGGATCACTGCAGCAAACCACCCCCCAACCCCCCACCCCCAAGACCAGCAACATGTTTTTTAGAAATAACAGAAATGTGAGTGTTATTTTGAAATAACTCCTTCCTCCCTCTTCCCCTACAATCCAAGTGCATAAAGGTGGAGGACACACTCAATATGTAAGGATTAGAAACTGTCTGCAAAGGGTACAACCCTATTATGGGAGATTCATAAGAGGAGTATTTCTTTAAGCGCAGTTCTCAACATGAGGAACTCATAGTCCATGCTGAGTTTCTTTTAGCATCAGAAAAGGACTGCAGTGTTAGCACTGCAGAAAAACTCCACTACTGGCTATTCAGATATTGTGTGGTGCTGCTAGTCATTTAAAGTTACAATCTGTTACCTATACCAAACAAATGTGTTTGTGCCTTTTATTGCCTGTCACTCTGTGATGTTAGTAACATTCCATTTTAATTGGAATGTCATTTTAAGGTTAAATACAGCTGACAAGACAGCACAGAACACCCGTACGTATACTAAAATGACAAAGTCTTCCCGCTGATTAGAGAACAGGGAAGGTGGGTCCGGGTGTGGGAATGCCTGAGGCCAAATCATCTTCCCTCCACAACAACCACAGGTGTCTCAGCAAGGGAAGTTTTAATTGGGGAATAAAAATCCTTAGAAATATAAAACTGAAATTATAAAGGAAGAATTGGCACTTTTTGATCCAAACAAATAACTGCCACAACAGTGTAAGTTGTGGCTTTGGCATGTTCAAACTTATATCTTTGTACATAATGCCTCAATGTTCTCCAAGCTGGGGATATTAAAATAGTTGAACAAAGTCCTCTTACACTCTTTGGACTTTCCAGTTTATTCTCTGGTGGTAAAAAGAAGGAAAAAAATCTTTGGTGACATCTAGCATGTAGACAAATTAAAACAATATATTTCTGGGAAACTGTAGTTAAAAGGATTAAAGCAATAACACACACAAAAACAACACAACTTTGGTATAATGCTGGTGGCTAAAATAACCCATTAATTGTCTTTGGGGAAGAATCTTCCAAAATTCCTTGGCAAATAAAGAACATTTAATATAAAACAATCTAATGACATTTTTTTATTGTTTCAGTGTAAACACTTGAGACCAATCAGGCTAAGATAAAACATAAATGTCTTTTCATAATTATTGTATTGGTGTTATCCTACCCAACCTGAAATAACTGTGTTTATTACAGAACTGATACCAATGTGGATTCCATACTATAAGTTACAAAGACGTTTTCCCTTCTCCACTCCAGTACTCTTTTACTTCATTTTTCAAACTCTTGGCTTCCATACTCCATGTTTAACAGGAACACAGGAGGTATTAGGTTACTCTCTTTTCTCTCCCTCAACCCCTGGTAGGACCATTTCAAACAACGTTGTCAAACAGCAACCATAGTGCTCCCCTTGGTTATATCCAGTCTATGTTTACTCTCGGGGTAATGTTTATTGTTTAAACATCATGGAGTTAAACTATTTCAGCACAACTGGTTGATGATAACCAGAGCCTCTTAATCACAGTTGTATCACAGATGCATCATCCTTAAAACACAAAGCTCCTATGTAGTTTAGAACAACTCAAGGAATGAGATTAGATATGTTTAATTTTCAGGTTCCCATATAAGAAATTTTGAACTTGTTTTATATCAAGGTCAGTTCAAATTCTGTTTTAACTGTGTGCTTACTCAATGGACTACTGTATCATTGGTTTCCTAATCAAATAATGAAAGCTAGAATTACAAACATTTATTTTCATTTTTCTATTCTCATAGATTATTTACCCAACCGACTGTAGTATTTTTACATTCAGCATCACATCAAGTTTAAAAAACAATAATAAGACATTTGCATAAACCACAGAATTGCAAATCCAAGTTCTGTGTTGTTAATGCTTTAACTAGCTGTACTGTTATGTTTGGTGGTTTTACAATCATATAATGTCAGTTGCTTTAATATTAGATGACTTCTTGAGTAGTGGCACAATATCTTAAAGACTCGTGAACCCAGTGGCTGAAACTGGAAACTAATTCAACAATAAAAATTGTGGAACTGATGACATAAGAACAATTTAAACAAATCTGGCCAGTGGGGGCCCAGGAGTAGGTTGTAGAAATGTGACTGTGGACCTGAAGGAGGCAGTCTTTTTCACTGAGGTCTTTTTGGAGGCTAAGTTAGAATGTGGGAAAGTTCTGGCTGTGCAGAAGGGGAAGCCCACCACTGCCCAGAAGTCAAGCACGAAAGATGATTGTGGAAGTGAGCAGCACTTTACTTCCTGCAATAACAAGTGTGAGCTAAGCAATCATGAGCCATGGAATTGAGGCCAGAATAGGCATAACAACTAGATGCTATATTAGACCTGGGGACAAGAGACTCTTCAGTCTGTTTTTCACAGGGCCACACTTCTCAGTGGTCACTGGTGCTGGGATTATGCCCTCATGGAGTATTACAGAGTCCTAGAGAAGCAGGGCTGGGAGGGACCTCCAGGGGTCGTGTAGTCCAACCCCCTACCTGAGGCAGTACCATCCCCATCAAAACCATCATGGATGTGGACAACATTGAGAGGGTCCAGAGGAGGGCCACCCGCATGATCCGGGGACAGCAGGGCAGACCCTACAATGAGAGGCTACAGGACCTGAACCTGTTCAGCCTTCACAAGAGAAGGCTGAGGAGGGACCTTGTGACCATTTATAAACTCACTAGGGGGGACCAGAAGGGTTTGGGGTAGACCTTGTTTCCCCTAGCGCCCCCCGGGATAACAAGGAATAACGGCCACAAGTTGTTGGAGAGTAGGTTTAGATTAGACATCCATAGGAACTACTTCACATTTAGGGTGGCTAGGATCTGGAACCAACTTCCAAGGGAAGTGGTGCTGGCTCCTACCCTGGGGGTCTTTAAGAAGCAGCTTGATGCCTACCTGGCTGGGGTCACTTGAGCCCAGTTTCCCTCCTGCCCAGGCAGGGGGTCGGACTTGAAGATCTACAAGGTCCCTTCCGACCCTACTTCTATGATTCTATGATCACATACAACCATAATCTAAGCTTTACACAAGACTACCATTAATCCTACCACAACATAGACCTAACACTCTAACCTGCCACACGTAAAGCAGAGGAACCGCATTCAATCTGGGGTCTCTGAGAGAAATTCTCAAATGCTGCCTCAGAACCCTGAGTAATGGCCATTGCGGTTTTTCTTCCCTTCTTCCCCCACTGCCGCCTTTTCCCCTGCTTCTTATTTTAGTCATGACAACTGAAGCCCCAAGTTTAGTGGTGGGCCTGAGGTCATTGGGAGGAGGGGGTGGGCAGCATTCATCTGGAGCCATGCTTATGCAGCAGCTATGGCAGCTGTGCTAACATGTCCTGCGGGCCACAATTGAACTATTCACAGGCTGCATGAAACCTACAGGCCACCAGTTGGACTACCTTGTTGCAGATGATGGCATACAAGATGCAATGGCTATACAAATTCAACTCTAAAATAATATTAAATTTCCAAGTAATAACTTTAATTTAAGATTCAACAATTTTCAAAGGGAGGTAGTAGACTCACTGTTTTCAAAATCCATCTGAATAAGACACTACTCAGCCCATCTACAAATATATCACAATTCCTTTTTATCATTTCCAACTGTTTTGTTCACAAAGTAATAATGCTTTCCTAATGTACAGCGATTCAAAATATTGCTTTTAGTAATGTGCATAACTTCTATATCCATCCATAAGTACAGGGAATTGCATTACAATCTCATAAACACAGTAAGAACTAAGAAGTATTCCTCAGCATTCTGTGAGAAATGTTGTCATCTAACTAGTAAGGTTACATATTCATTTACCAAAAAAAAAAAGCAAGAATGCATTTGTAAGCTACTTACTAGTGTATGTGAGTTGAAATCCTTGGTCTGTATCAGATCCATTAGTATTAAATTCTATCCACAAGTGGTTAGAAGTGCTGTTAAGGATCACTCCCATCATTTCATTTTTGGTGAAGGCTCCCAAAGGACGTGAAAAGCTGTCTTTTCCATCATACACCTTATGTAAACAAAATCAAAACATGAAACTCTGTACATACTTGAATTTTGAGGCATTTCAATTAGTTTGGTTATACTTAAACAATGATTTCAAGAAATTCTCTTAATATTTTTAAAACTAGTTTTTAAATAAACTATTATATTTTCAGCTTGGAGACAGATATTATTTTTAAAGGTCTTTCTTGGCATTTCAATTCAGATGATAGATAAGAATATGCTACCCACCAATGATTTGCTTTACATTTTATACTTCACATTTTATATGGATAGATATAGATACAGATATAGATTATATGCTATAAGCACTTCTACAGCTCAAATGCATTAGCTTTTGTGAGATTATTTGGAATGATATTAATATTTATACATGGATCTATCTACAGAGGCTTCATAACCATGACTTCTTTCATAATCCACTCACAAAGGCTGAAAAGGTTTGTGACATTTCAGTCAAGGGTGTCTCTTCTGAAATCACTGTTGGAATAAGAGGGGAGAGAGATAAAACTGTCTCCCACTCTGCTTCCTCCTGTCTGAATATATTACGAGCAGGGATGAGGTACTAAGCCAACCTGTCACCTTTTATTTCAGACTCTTAGCCTGAGGTAATTTGTGTCTCTTAATAAGTTATAATAAAATAATTATTGTATTTGATACCACATCAGACAAATATATTCTTCTATTTACAAAGTGCAGAAATGTTCCTATTTAGCAATCATGATTTGACCAGAAAACTTGAAGGTAGGCCAGACTAACCTGCATTAACCTCAATGCTTTAAAAATGGTTCAATCAAAGGTAATACACTTCTGACTGTTTGTGAATACAGAACTCCACACATGATATAGTACTTACTTGTGGGGGTTTGTTTCATTTCCCTCTCCTCTAGTGTAAAATATTTGAGGCAATGAGATCCTCAAATGGCCTGTGATATTTTCAAGGACCACTAAATGAATTCAATAAACCAAATACATAAAACAAATCCTTCTTCCTATTTTATAAATTGTATATACTTTCAATATGGTTATAATTAAAAATGTGTTTGTGCACAGTATGTTTTAAAAAAAAACAAACTTAGCATTTGCTATCTTCCATGGAGCAGCAGGGCTGAAATGTTACTGTAGTTATGAGGGTCAAGGAAAGGTATGAGGTGCAAGGATTTATGTAGTCTCTTTTATTGGAACAACTGAATAGTCAGAACAAAATGTTGAATAAGCTTTCAGGTAGCAAATGCCCTTCCACAAGTTGAAGGAAGGGGAAGACACAGGCTGAGTTAAATTGCAAAGAGAAGACTCCATGAAAATACAAACAATTGGCTTGGAGGGATGGAGAACTGTGAACTGGTGGGAGTAAAAAGGTATTATTGTCTTACGACAAAAAGGTATTATTGTCTTATGACAAAATAAGAGAGAGGTAGATATCTGTGTTAGACTAAAGTCAGGCAAAAGCAGGGTATAGATGCACCTTATAGACTAAGAGTAAGTAAGTAAGGGGGCAGGTGGTGCAATGGTAATTTGTAGCTGTTGCTACAGGGCTGGGTTGGGGTTGTGCTCTGTATTCCAGGCTGCAGAGAAGATGAAGCCTGCTGGCACCAGAGCAAATGTAAGGTGCGATGGCAGGAATGGGAGGGTGAAGTAGCACATGGGGGAGACTGGGTGTGGTGGGGGCCCAAGGCTGCAGGGGAGGAGTGGTCCAGGGGTGTTGCAAAAGCAGGCAGAAGCAGGCAGCAGCTGTGGTTCCAGCTCTGATCCAGTGTTGAGGCCAGAATTGAAATTGCAGAAGCTGCCTGCCCCTACCACTTCATACCTGATTTTAAGACAAGGGGCGTCCCACCCACCCCCTGTTAAATGGGGTATAAAAATGGTCTTTTAGTCAAATAAATACAGTAACACATTTTCTGATGTACTGTATTTACTTAAATCCAAGACAACATTTTTTCTCAACCAGAACAAGGGGGGAGGAAGGAAAGTCTCATCTTAGATGTGAGTATCAGCCAGGGACAAGTGGTGCCTCAGGTTCAGGTTTGGACCCATGTTCAGGGCTGAAACCAGAGCTGAGCTGCTGCCTGCCCCAGGCCAGAACTGCTCATTTGGCAAGGATGGGGGCATGCAACCAAGAGGAGTATTGGGTAGACTACAGTGTAGTGGTAGGGGAACCTGGAGCTTGGACAGCAATTTGAAGGGAGATACACAGAGGGGAAAGGAGTAAAGGGAAAGACGCCAGTGGGGAGCAGGGGCTTGGGGGCAGGGAGTGGGAAAGCAAGCACAGGCAAAGGGGCAAGGGGTGGGATGCATGTGCAGAGGGGTGCATAGTGGGAGGCAAGCACAGACATAGGGCAGCAGGGGAGCAAGGGGCAAGGGTCTAGCTTCTTGACTCCCACTGTTGTTTTCCCTAACACAACAGTGGAGGGGATGATTTAAGGTGACATTCCACTAATTAGAAATGTACATACAATAAATGTATAGTTCCCCACACATAGAATAAAATTATTGTGGGGCAAGATGGTGGGGGGTCATCTTATATTCAAACTCACTTGGAGTCAAGTAAATACAGAACATTTCTGGATCCATTGTTTCTCATGATTGTTGATTGTTGTGGTGTTGGGGTCACACTAACATGTTGTACATTTGTTCTTAAGGCAGACTGTGTCCCCAGGGGACACGCATCAAAATAAGATCATCCAGTTTCTGTTTAGGAATGTGCTTTTTATGCTGGTTCTATGATGTTTTGCCTATTTTTATTGGATTACTTTTATTTATTGATATCAATACTACAATTATTATATATATATGTGTGATCAGTTTATTAATCTTTAAAAGAGAAAACTCAACTGTTATCTAAAATTATACAAGCCTCCCCCCCTCCGATGTATATACAACAGGAGTTCAGGACAGTTGACAGTTTTTTAAAGAAACTGTATTAAAATGTAAACACAATCTATTCTGATGCAAAGAAAAAGCAGGAAGCATCATAAGCAGGGGTCCACCCAACTTGAGGAGCCGAATGAACAATTTCACAGGAAAATCACAGGGTCGGCTGCCATTTTTGAGGGTATATTGTGGTGGGGCCTCTCCATAGCTATGATAGGCTGAGGACCCCTAACAGCTCCTTCCTCCTTTCCCCCCACTGCTCATTGGTGGTGAGCTTTCCATCATATGGCCTTACCCCTCACCACTGATTGCCTGAGAGGGCTGTCCTACATTCAGTCCCACCCCTCACCTCTAATTGGTGGAGAGGGGTGAGGCCACACAGTAGGCATCCCTCTCAGCCAATTAGTGGTGGGGGCAGCAGCCATCTTGCCAACAGCCCTTTATGGTGTCAGATCCACTCCCCTCTTCCCTCTGGTGGGTTACAGCAGCGGGGAGGAGTGTTGGATTCTACTAGGGAGTTAACATTTTATTTTCAGTAAGTTTTTTTTCCCCATGGATTTTGTGAAGATCACCAGATTTCATGAAATCTGAGCAATCATGATTTAGGTAGGTCCCTAATCATAAAAGATCAAATCATGAGTTCATCTCTGCTGTGAACTGAAGAAATACTTGTCCAAAAAAGTGTAAGAAGACAACAAGAGAGAGTTGTTTAGCTACTAAATGTGGAGAAAAAAACTAAAAGCAGATGATATGCAGAGTGCTGAGATGTTTAATACCTTTAAGCCTTCTCTAAAAAGGTTAATTGCAATAAGATAACTGTCACAAATCAGCTTCACTGAAAAAGATATAAGAACTCATGCTAGAATAAGAAGGAAATTAGATGGCTGGAGTACTTGGGGAAAAGGCCAAAGAAACCTCAGAATGATTAACAATTATATTTTAGAACTCATGGATTACAGATGAGTAACTAGAAAATTGGGAAAGGCGCACAATGCCTGTCTTTAAAAGGGAAAAAAGAAGGGCCCAGACAATTACAGCCTATTTTCAATTCCTGGAAATGTATTGGAATGAATAATCAAGCAATCTATTTTTTAATAGATAATAAATTAGTAACAGCCAACACAGAATGTTCAAGAACAGATGACGTTAAGCCAACCTAATTTATATATGTGACAGGATTAAAAGGCTTCTGGATCAGGGAGCAGTAATAGTTATGTCATCCTTTGACTTCAGTAAGGGTTTTAACACTATCTCACATGCTGTTCACAAGAGCAGGTGAAATCTTCACATGACTAGTGATTTGCCTGCTTCTAGTTCTGTGTTTTCAACTTTCAAGGGGACTAATTTTCTGAAAGTGCTGAATATATAACATCTGAAAATCAGGAATCCAAAGTCCCACAGGTTGTCTACTAGGGCTGTGTGAAGCTTCGGTCCCCAATTTGATTCGGCATAGATTCAGCCCAATTTAGTGACCAAATCTCCAAATCCAAATTGAATCAGGAGACCCTTAAATCTCTCCAAATTGAATCGGAACCCTCCAAATTGACTTGGAGAAATTTGGAAAGATTTGGTGATTCAGACATAGACACAGCTTTAAATATTTTTTCTATATATGTCAAGGTACCAGGCAGCTCATGAATGCTGCAATACTGGGGTGGATGGAGCATCCCACAGGAATGCAGGGGGCTCCCCAGAGTGGTTGGCAGTATAAGCCGGAAGTGGACCAGCACTTCCGGTTCACTTCCAGGTCCACTGGGAAGAATGCTGAGCTCCCTCCCCCCGTGTCCCTCTGGCTCAGCAACTGGTACCTCCTGGATGTGGGGGAGCACCCGGGATCCCCCCACAGCTGATCAAAGAGCCAGCGGGGGAATTGGGGGGCTGGTCCCCAGTGTGCTCCCTGGCAGACCCAGAAGTAGACCAGAAGTATTTATGGTCCACTTCTGGGTTTGCCACTGAGCACGCAGGGGGGCCCCCTGCGCTCCTGTGGGACACTCTATCTGCCCCAGCATCACAGCAGGCATGCGCCATGCCTGGTACCTCAAGGTATGTAGAAAAAACATTTAAAGCTGCATCTATGGCCAAATCACTGATTCTCCAAATCAACATTGAATCTTCATATTTGGATTTCACTGAATTGAATAGGGGACAGTAATCCGAATCAACTAATCAAATCATTATCCTCTATTTGGGCTGAATCTGAATCTAATACAGCCCCTTTTGCACACCTCTGTTGTCTACTCAAAAATGGAAGCAATAACATTATTGATAATTTTTCAAAAACTTAGCCCTAAGACTTTAGATGGTATTTTATGCTATATGTGGTGTATTCTAAATGTACAACAGAGTGCATTTATCTTTGAAAGCCAGGGTTTTAAAAGTATATGGCAGTAAGATGCTTAGGAGATTTTGAAAATCCCACTGTGTACCCCTTTGTCCTTAGGTACATAAATGTCAATAATACCCTTGATCATAATGTTTATCTAAACCTTTAGATATGTAAATACCTTTAAATATCTTACCTTGACAACCCTACTCATTCTCATGCTTTTTTTGTAATTTAATGTCCTTGATTAACAATCTCTAATGTTTAAACTAAATTATCATGCCTCTAAAATGATGATGTAATTGCTTGGCAGCTGCCCTGGTGTCATTCGAGCTATACACTATTTATAACCATTGATTTAGACAGACTTTGCAAGTACATGTATAGCAAAAGCAATGTTAGCCCATAAACCAAGATATATATCCAGAATAAAAAAAAATGCCTAAGTACCTTTTTAAGACCATAGACTATTGCCAGCCCTCACAAAACAAGGTTATTCCAGCTACATGCTCTTAACATAATACAATCTTCTTTTTCTTATCACTGGAAGCAAAATCATTGTTTATATCTACAGTTTTCAATTGTTCTGAATTACAAAGATACACATGTCCTAATTAAGACTTACTTTCCACACTAATCATGAAGAGGGAGATTTTCAAAATGCTGTACTGAGTTAGATAGATGCTTCCTATATATCTTATTAGGACTTGCATTAGATCCTTATGAAATGCCTTGACATTTCACCCTAAACAAATGGTCATACTTTACACTTTCATGAGATGTTACTTGAAGATATTTTCCTTAAGAATTTGAGAACATGTGGATTTTAAGGAAAAATATAGAATGATTAACTTCTTACTTATTTCAACACATTCACCTGATGCAGAAGACGGTATACATATTTTCAAGTAATGAAAACAAATATCTTGAATTATTAACTACAGTTACTTATTTTTTGCCATTTGGATTTCTTGTTTAATTAATGCAAAACTCAGATTATTCTAAAATATGCATAAATATGATCCATTGATAAATAAATATAATTGAATAAATGAGTAAAAAGTCAAACAGTCTCACTTACCTTATACCAACTGTTGCTCTTTAAGATGTATTATCCATATCTATTGTAGCTCTGGAGAACCAACAACCCAAAATATGACATAGGTGTTTTTTGTGTGTTTAGTGTACCTGAATACAGCTTTCCAATAGTCTTGAATTCTTCATTGTTCAGAACAGTTGGAACCTTGGTGTCCATAGAAGATAATTGGCATTGCTCAGCCAAATAAAGAATTTCATCAATCTGGCTACATGCATTAATCTGTTAACTGTATTTTCTGAAATAATGTTTTGAATCTCCATACATAAGCTCATTAACAGTGTCTGTGCTGCAGTGTGTACTAAGGGCTTGCTGGGGTGGAGAAAGTTTTCCTTGCTCTAAGAGATTAAGTCCAGTGGACGTAAAGAAATTAGAGATAGTGTGGACAAGTTAATCAAGTTAGGATACCAGAATGGTCTCATCAAGTCTGGAACTACTGTAATTGTTACTACTAACTGCTGTCCAAGCTTTTTTAAATTCCTCAGTGTTAGGGAATATGTAGGTTGGCATAAATTGTCCCTTGAGATGATAGGGTGCTAGGGTGAGGAAGGCATCAAACAGACAGTCTGGGCATAGACTTTTTCTCAATCACAAACTCTTGTTTATTTCTGTTCTGTGCAGATCTATGGATGATTGATTCTATTCAAGAAAGGTATTTTGCATATTGGAGTCCTTGGGTTTCTTTCAGTGACCTTTTAATAATTGCCTGCATGGCTGTGCTAAGGGATAGTGTAGGCACGGCAGGAGCAGAGCTACTGAGAAGATTTGGTGGCATATACACCAATTTCAAACGTATAACAGATGTGTAAGAGGGATTGTAGAATGAGATTTTCTCCCTATCTGATACATAATTGGCATGATCTGCATTTATACCCTGATATTAAAAAGGCCTATTAAATTGTCTTGAGTGAAAACATATTTACTGGAAGTTGCATCTCTGCAAGTCTATAAGGCCTGGAATTAGTGATATTCCATGTGAATTTCCTGGCTGAGCACTGAGTCATACATCAACAACATTTCAGTGATGTGTAAAGAATGGTATTCCTTTGACTACCCGAGCAGATTATTCCAGAGTTTCTTGAGGCAGGTGAACTTAAATTAAATGGTCTATTACCCCATTCTATGTTATATTTGATAGGCTTGTTTTGGTACCTATCTTTGAAAAAAAAAATGGGAATCAGTTGGGACTGTCTCTGTCCCCATCCCTTTCTTTCTATCCCTCCATCTTTTCCAATATCTCCTAACTTCATCATATCACTCAATATCTGTATTATATTTTGCAGACAACATATGGGACAAACTGCTTTTTCTTTATTTATTAGAGTAGCTTTTACAGTGAGCTAACACATGCAGTAAGGTAATTTCAATTTGACCTTATAATCATTAAATAGATGGAACTGTTGTTGGAGTGATCAACATAAAAATAGCAATATCAGACCAGAAGGGTAAATAGTTATTTCTGTCATGTAAACAAGAACATCATGAGAACAAAACAACTGGAAATTCAATAACTGAATTCTATGTTACTCAATGATTTATACAAGTACCTGATATTGAGACATTAGAAAAATAAATCCCAAGCAATTATTTAGCTTATGACTGATAATTTAGATAGGATTTATGGTGTTATCTGATTTGCAAAACACAGTAACAATTATTTAAAAAGGGCAGAACAAGAAGTAATGAGAGAGATTATATTATAACTGATTTTCAAAGTGTATAGAAATGAAGTTCTACATATTTCAATGGAATTACAGAGGAAGGGAAGTCAATCAAACTATCTCTAACTATAGTTCAGGCTCTTTGTTACAGTGGTATAGGTTACACCATAAAGGTTCATGTTTAAAGTTTTCTTTTTATCATCACTATGAATAATACTTATAAAGATTTTAAGATTGATTACTATATTTTCTTGATACCACTTAGCTAGGATTTAAGTTACATGCTGAGTAGAAGGAAGGCAAAAAGTATCAAAGTTAGAGTATTGATTTCTTGTGTTAAGTACCCACTGTAGAAGGCAGCGGACAGTGAAAGAGAATTTCTTTTACCTTAACAATATCTCCCTCATGCAGCTGAAAGCTCCTGGCTCTAAGGTGGATCCCTTTTCCAGCTTCTGTTTCAATTTTATAGATACATTCATGGTTGTTGTCATAATTAGATGGAAAATTTGGAGACAGCAATATTCCTTCATTTCCAGAGACACTTGCTCCACATTCAGCTAAAGAAAATATGCACATTGAAAAAAAAGTGAATTATCCATTTCAAGAGAATAAAATAATGTTTATTTTCAAACCTGACATTAAGTCCCTAAGATAACATATTAGAGACTATCTAGAGAAATATATTGCTCCTGGACTTTTTTTTTCTATTGACATAAACTATCAAAGAAAAACAATAATTTGCTTTCAACAGTATCTTAAAGGGTTTATTTACCACATGCTTGATTTTTTTAGATTGAGGGATATCCAGACCCTCTTGGTTTAATTGCCTTGGTTTCTCATTTATCTTTTGGTTAGCCCTCATTCACAATGTGAAACCCCTAATTACCCACAAGTTGTTTTAGTTTTATGCAGAGTAAGGGTAGCACTGATCATACTAGTGGGCATGTCTACACATGCAATTAACGTGACTGAATACACTGGCTTATTTTGAGCCATGGGAAACCAATCCCAATGTCACCATCTACACATGTGGTTAAGCACAGTGCAGCTGGATACAATTTGTGTGTCACAGGACTATCCAGCAGCACAGTAAATTAGTCTCCTGCACCCTAATTGCCACACGTGTAAACAGTGATGCTTTACTGTGCAGCAAGTTAGTCTGTTGCCCAGTAAAGTGTCTCATGTAGATGGACCCACTGATTCCCTGTTCAGCCTAGTACTAGAAAGAGTGGAGAGTCAAATATTATAGTAAAAGAATTTGACCTTATAACAAATGGTATGCCTTGGCTTCTTAGAAAAGTTTTTTTCTATTGAGAATAAAGAAGCTGCTGACAGGTCACAATAAAATCAAGCTGCTCTCATCCTTCATAGCCAAAAGGTAGAGGAAGGTTTTTTTCCAAATAGTCAGAAAACAATTAAAGAAACTTTGCCTTACAGCAGTAAAGGGATTTTGACTTCATTGCTCTGCTGCATTGGTTTATGTGGAGGAAAAAGGTACTGTTATGGGCCCAAGCTTGTTTTATGACTGAAGAGTAAATAAAGGTTAAGATCTAGTAAAAACACAAATGGTAGTTTTAATCTCTAACTCTGGCAAAGGAAAATATGGGATACAGTTTTGAAACAAATAATTAGAATACTGGTGGGGGGGGGTAAATAAAACACTTTGAAAGACCCAAACTACTATTTACCTTACAGTCAAACTAGTACTTAGGTGTTACAATTACTCTGAAATGTCACAGAATACATTTATTCAATATTGAGACATATATAGCAGGCAAAATAAATTGCAAAAGTATAAAAGGTTTTGGTCTGAGTAAAAAATCCTAAGCTTGAGCCAAACCTACTGTATTTTATTTGTAGTAATAGCTAAGAAATTTAGAATCTTCCAGGAAAAGGTATTTTAAATGCCATGAATGAATTTGCTTAAAGGCATATATTCTAAATACATTTTTTCCTATGGATTTAAAATGGACTCTTAGTGTATGTTACCAAAAACTGCAAGAGAGGAAGAGTGAATATATTGCCTGAACCCTACATTTTAGATATTTTTATTCTGCTCAGAAAGAATGGAGGAGAGCAACTATGGTTTCACCTGTGAAAAATCAGCAGTGAAGCTCTAGTGTACTGTGCGCCTTCCTTTACTTATCCCAGTAAGATCCTGAACTATTTTTTTCCTTAGTCTGGGGATGAGGAAACAGAGGGCATCAGAGTCTTCCTCACCAAATTTTGTCAAGCAAAGTGCTCCTGATATTTCCAGCCAAGTTTAAAACTACTTTGTATTACTTACATGGTTTAAAGAACCTTACCAGATGGGAAAAGCCATCTCTAAGTGTCTATTTTGATGGATGAGTCAGAACTGATAACTCAGTGTATATAAATTTTACAAGTCTAAGCAAATCAAGGTATCCTTCTTGGACAAAAGACATAGCAAATACGTAACAGATATTATAGTACAGAGGATCATATATATGTGTGTATATATATATATATATATATATATATATATAGATAGGTTATATAAGGTGTGTGTATATCCATATATATATATATATGTATATGTATGAGATCCTGTATAATACCTGTTACATGGGTAACAGATAGGTCTTTTGTCAAGGGAAGATACCCTGATATGAGTAGGCTGTGGAATTAATTTGTATGTATAGTCTTATTTAGTATATGTAGTCTTATGTGTGTGTATTAAATACTATAATATACAGCCAAGTAATATTTACAGTGATATAGTACTTTATTTGATATATAAATAATGTATACATATATATTACTTATATTTATGAGTAATTAATGAAGTTGACTGAGAAAAGCTCAGGTATTCTGTACATGTGTTCTGCAACAGGTATCTGCCCAGATAAAGATCTGTATCCTTGAGGAATAAAAATCTTTGTTCCCTTAGGCACGTTTTATATCCATTCTCTACCTTCTTCAAAAAACAAAAACTTACTTGCTGGAAAAAAAATCTTTATACTGTTTCTACATTATTGTGAGTTTTGACTCTATGATTGAATTGTAACCTGCAACAGGTACACGTGTCAATAGCTATAAACCTCTGCTGAGAAGTAATTTAAAATCAACACTGGACTGAGACAGAATAAGAACAGCAATTAGGAACCTATTAAACATAGTTCCCAATTAGAAAGATGAATTATACAATGATTCTGAAATACTTGCAAAGAAAAACCATTCCTGTTGTTATTGTTATTTTATAAGGATCATCATTTACAAGAGATTTTATTTCAGATATGGATACTTAAATTTCCTGCTCTGAAGTGTTGAGAGTCCAAAGATAGATACAGGGACTAGGGATTGCAAACAATAAGTTGGGAAATAGGAGGATGGATGATGAGGGCTACAAAAATAAAAAAAAATTACCAAGTTGTCATGATCACTTTGTTTTCCAATGTGTGTTCTATAACATGAACAGATTCTTTCCCTCTCTCTGGACCCCACTGGTTTTCTAAAATTGCAGCCCAGGTCAAAACGACCCTTTCCCAACACCCAAAGCATCCAAGGCTAATCATCCATCATCCCTAAAGCATCCAATCACCCTCTCTCCACATGGCACACTATCATCTGAGGCAGCCCTCTGGCAGAATTGCAAACACACCCAACACCCTGCCATGGTACATCACTTTCCTTCAACAGCAGTCTCCTTCCCTATCATGCCAGAATTCAGCTCCTATCTTCTGAAAATATAGCTGCCAATGACTTTACTATCACAAACAGTCCTGAAGGGAATGCCCTCATGCCAACTGTTACTGATGAGAACTGAGTATCCTTTGACTTGCTGGGATATAGTGTTAGGGGGAAATTGATCAAATGAAAGGATATGAAATCTGTGGCTAAGCTTCTCTCACTCCTACCCCTAAAAGCCATTAATTTCTTAGTCTGTCAGCTCAGACTGGCTTGCTCATTTCCTTGACCAGTTTTTTACAGCACATCAAGATGCTTCTGATGAAGTTTTTGGTTCCAAGGTTTTCTCCCTTAGCTACAGAAACCTACCTTTTCCTGAATCCACATAAACAGCAAAGGTAACAGGGAAAATTTGGGGGGTCTTGAGTCCTCAAGGTAGAGTATTCTCTTCAACTGTGAACTATGGCTTAGACGATTAGGCATCACAAAAAATGAGCATTACAATCTCTCATTTCTAGGCACCTGGAAGAAGCATGTAATCCACAGCCCTATGCTAGGCAGTCTAGTCTTGCCATCAAATGCATGGGAGAAGTCAGTGTTTCAGAATGGCACCCTCAAAAGTGGACTACTGAACAGACCCACAGACGGAGGATATTTCTCTCTGAACCTTAACATATTTTCCTCAGCATCTGTGGTGGCAGGAGTCACTGATCTTTTCTTTCCTTTTTGACACAGAAGGCAGTATACCCACCACACTATTATGTAGTATCAAACTCACATTGCACACCTCAGAGCTCCTCCACATTAAATATAGGAACTCCAGCTTCAGCAGGGAAGAGGAGCACATGAATGTAAGCATGACTCCCTGCCTAACGGTTACAGTATTCACCAGGACAAGGAAGTTCTGGGTGCCAATCCCTGATCCAAGGGCCGATTCAGAATTTTATTTATTCATTGTTTGATGTAAAATACATAAACAGTCCTTGGAGCAGCAGCTGGAACCCTGGACTTGCTCCTGGTGAGTGCCAAAACCAAAATGTTGGTTGCCAACCTTTTGCCCCCATGGGCTAGACTTTGCAACTCCCAGCATCCTGCTGCAGGCTGACAATTTCTGTCCCCTGGAGAGCTCAAGTCACCTGTGTTTATGGTGAAGATAGTCAGCCACTCTGCAGCAAGGTAAGTACAGGCACAAAAGAACAACTGGGGGCACTATAGGACTGTTTCTTGCACAGGGGTAAATGACTTAGTACAGCTGTGTGCTACCCAATACCTATGCTGCCGCGGGCAAGGTTGGACCTTTTCACCAGCCGGATTCAGTACACAGGACACTGGTTGCTGATCCCTGTGCTAGAGAGCTATATTTTCTTGCATTTTCTCTCTCTTTCCCCATACCACTCAAAAATAAATATTTCATACTTTTATGCAAAATGGAATAGTTACAATAAGCCAGAAAGTACAGAACATCCTACTGCCTGGTGGCTAAGGCATCTCAAAGGAAGTGGGAAATATAAGATCCTTTCAGGCCAAGTATTTTGCATATGCACTCTAGCCATTCAGATATTATAAAGGAAGTGGAGTGGCTCCTCCTATGTCTTTGTGTGTGTGTGTGTGTGTGTGTGTGTGTGTGTGTGTCTTTTAATGGTACCTACCATTTTGTGCAAAGTCTGATTCAGGGGTCATGCTTTAAGATCACATACTGGATTAAATTTCTCAGGCAAGACAGGCAGAGGAATTTATAGTATGTGGCTCACAGTGGGCCTTAGACATGAATTAGTTTAGACTCAATCCAATCAGAATGGAGTCTCAGAATATGCAGAAGTAGAACTGCGAGTGCATGAAGAACTGAACATATGTATTTCTGATTAAGCACCTTCAGAGTTGGGTGTCAGATGAGTGAAGATTTAAAGGA